GCGTGTTATTAACGTGTTATCTACGTGTTATACAGTTGATATCTACGTTTGAACAAGTTTATGACAGAAATATTTGAACAAAAACATGTTATAAATCACCAATTACTTCTTTCGTAAAATGTTTACAGATGATACAGTATACCAACTTTTACAATATCAATCAATCTATATTCTCATTTATGAAATCCATCAAAAGTCCAGTGTATGTTTCACTTAGTTGGGGTGCATAGTATTCCTGCAGCAGGGGAGTAATACTAAGTTCAATTTGAATGAATTGTTTTATATAAAAGGCAGTGAAATGATACTGAATTTTATCGACATACCTGGGTAAGACAATCTGTCAAACTTTGGTTGAATGCGTTCACAGCTCGACAGCTACTTGCTGCTTTCTGTTACATTTCTTGATGCAATGGGTCAAATTAGAAGTATGCATTATACATGGAGTGGAAAGAGGAAATACTAAATTAAAAAATTCATACTTTTGATTTTCTTATTTTTCTCCCAATGTCTTTTCAACCTAGATGTAGATACTCCTTTCGGCCTTTTTTTAGCAGGGTCGTTCACATTGCATTATATATTTGTGATTTTCTTCTTCTTTTTTGTTTTATGTACTTCGATCATTCTCCCTGCTAGAGCATCCTCAATATCTCCAGATAACTTTTTAAACGCCTCTCACAAACACTCCTCAGCTAACTCATTTCCTTGTGCTCTATTAATGAGTTGATATGTAAATTTCTGAGAGCATGAACTGAATATAAGGGAACTTGAAGAAACATTATTAAAACACGAGTCATTTAACTCTCTACACCCAAATCTGTTATACATATCCCTTTTAGCATTGATGGACCGCCGCAATAAGAAATATTTTTCCGGAATCACCTTTATTTTTGCGAGACTTAGAACAAATAGTGCATGGGAGCACAACAACCCATCATCTCAAATTTTTTGCAACTACATGTAACCTCACAAGTAACCTTGTCAACTAACACATTCTTGGCTGTTTTGTTCCCTCATCATCCAATCTTGATACGTAATATTTAGCCTCACTCTCCACTGATACTTCAGATGTAAGCCCACATAAGTCATTCAATAGCTCTTGTTCAAACATTGAGTAAAGCTTCCTTGTATATAATGAGGCAGCTTGCCTCAGCATGGGATTGATTTTAACCATGGGCGTTCTGACGGACTGACCGCATTTGAAATCTTCATCTTTCTCATTCCGGCGCCACGATTTCTTTATGTTTTCAAGACCAATAAAACAATCCGTGATAGAGCTAGTTGGCTTTGAAACACCATGACAAATATTATTGGTCGACTCACTTTTCTGTGTTGATAGGATTCCCATATCAAATATATCCTTATTAAATGTTGTTGACCATTTATGACTTATACGATACATTTCATGTAACCAAACATTGCTTTGTAGTTCTCCCAACTCAATCATTAAAGACCACGTTTCTTCGAACTTCTCCTCAGAATCACACTTGCTCAACTATTTATAAAAAAAACTACAAACACTCTTAGTAACAGTGTACTTTGGAAGACAGTTTCTTGTAGATATGTCATTGACATAATCAATGACGTGTTTATGGGAGACATTCTGCAATGACTATTGTCATTGCTTGATCCTGATCGATAAAGATTGTTATGAGATGTTTGTCTCACATTATTCGAATAAATGATTTAAATAACCACATGAATGATTCAGTAGTCTCATCAGAAAGAAATCCAACTCCGAATAGTACGTTCTGCCAGTGGTGGTTAATCCCCACAAATGGAGCGCAGCATAAGTTATATTTATTTAATCCTTAGCTTGTATAAAAAATTATGGCATCCCCGAAACAGTCATAATCCAGCCTGCACAATCCATCACTCCAAAATATGCTTGTTAACCTACCAGACTCATCTGTTTGGAAATCCCAAGCAAACATGCTATCCCCAGCTTGCCTCTCCATGAACAATTGTATTAAAGCATTGACATCTCCTTGTTCCCTTCTTTGTCTTCTTTCTCTTTGGATGAAATTAAATGCATCTCTCTTGGTGCATTCCAAATTCTCCACACCACCAACCTCCGTGGCAATGAAATTGTATGCATGTGTTGCTCTGATCCCTGAACCTGTCATGGATCTCAACACATCTGCATTGAGCTCAATTATACTTCTGCTGGAACGAAGAAGATGTTTATCACCACTTTCGACCAAAGGATGATTATGATTTTCAAAGAATTTTGTCACTGTCCAATTGCCTTCGAAATTAACATGAAATCGTACCATGGCCTTACAGCTAGTCCTCGTGTCTGATTTTCTGAGTTTAACTGTACTGTTAGGCTCTTTCTTATAGCCAGCTTTTCCACAAATATAATCTTTAACCTTGAGTTTCTTGGAGTTCGGCCAGTAGGTAGTATGATCCTTCCGAACAGTGAATCCCACGTGATGTGCATATGCACGATAGCTTTCATATGCTTCTTCCTCATTGTGG